TCACGGAGAGGCTATGTTTTGCCCGGAGTTTGCTTCAAATCAGTCTGAGATGACTCATTATCTGAGTATGCTCAAGACTGATATTCGACAATTTGTATCTACACAACAATGTGGTACCCTCCTGGATGTTCAGGAAGCCGCGCGGCGGCGTGAGTTGGAGATAGAGCAGCAACTGAAGGAGCAGCGTCATGCACCGGCATAGTCTCAGCCGGCGCCTAAGCGATCTAAGACCGCTGATACACGGTCCTGGGGTTATCAGAACCGCACTTGTGGAAAGTGTGGCAAGGCTCATTTAGGGGTTTGTCGAGCAGGAGGTGGGTGCCACAAATGTGGCAAGGAGGGGCGCTATGCCAAGGATTGCCGTTAGTCCGCCCCTCCAACAGATATGCGGATTTGTTACTATTGTCATCAGGTTGGTCATATGAAGACCAACTGTCTGCAGCTCGCCGCCAAGCCAGCGCAGGGTTCCGCGCCAACTGCTACGAGGATTGGAGATGGGAGGCCAATCAGGGTAGAGCCTCCGAAGGCTCAGGGTCGCACGTTCCAGCTCACAGCCGAGGAGGCCAAGTCAGCACCAGATGTGGTTGATGGTACGTTTTCTATTCTCTATCTTAGTTATTGTATTCGTGTTATGGTTATTGTTTGTACCTGTGATTAGGTACGTTTCTATTGAATTCATTGCCCGCTTTGGTATTATTTGACTCGGGGGCGCGTTGATCGTTTGTATCTCAGACCTTCTCTAGAGGGTTCAGTATGCCAATAGATGATCTTTTGTGTTCGTTGAGAGTTTCGATCGCCAACGAGCACGGGGTTTCTGCTTCTTCGGTCTTCTGGGGATGCGAGTTGGAGATTTTCGGGGTGTCCTTCCCGATAGATTTGATTCCTACTCCCATGAGGGATGTATGCGTGATTATAGGGATGGATTGGCTTAGCCGTTTTGGCGCCATGATCGATTGTGAAGGGCAGTGGGTGGTGGTTCGAAGTTGCATGAGACGAGGTACCCGACGCACGATCTTGAATTGGGAGTAGTGGTTTTCGTTCTCAAGATTTGGAGGCACTATCTGTACGGAGTCTGTTGCACTATATACACAGATCACAAGAGTTTGAGACACATCATGGATTAGCCGAACCTGAACATGAGGCAACGCAGGTGGCTGGATGTAATCAAGGACTATGATTGCGAGATCCTTTACCATCCTGGTAAAGCAAATTTGGTTGCGCATGCTCTGAGTTGCAAGTCAGCTGGGTCCTCGACCCCAGCCAGGTGTATGAGAATAGCGGTGGATTCCCCACTAGTGGGTTTGATCAGGGATGCTCAGGTTGAGGGCATGAGAACTGGAAGTTGGAGAGGGATAAGGGAGAAAGCACCCAGTTTGTTAAGGATAGTCGCAGATTGTTGACCTATTACGGTCGGGTTTGGGTTCCAATGTCCGGAGGGGTTCGACAGACAGTGATGGAGGAGGCTCATAAGTCTCGTTTTTCGGTTTACCTGGGAGCCACCAAGATGTACCATGATTTGAGTTCGAGTTATTGGTAGCCTGGCATGAAGCGAGATATCACTTAGTTTGTTGAGAGGTGCTTGACCTGTAGGATGGTCAAGGCAGAGCATCAGAGGCCGCATGGTAAGTTGCAGCCTTTGGAGATTCCCATGTGGAAATGGGAACGAATCGCGATGGATTTCATCATGAAGTTGCCGAAGATGGAAAGGGGGTTCGATGCTATATGGGTCACCGTGGATCGATTGACCAAGATTGCCTATTTCCTAGCCATACGGGAGAGTTCGTCGTCAGAAAAGTTATGCCGACCGACGCCGATCTGAGCTGGAATTCCAAGTGGGTGACATGGTCCTCTAAAGGTCTCACCCTGGAATGGTGTGATCCGCTTCAGTAAGAGGGGAAAATTGGGTCCCCGTTATATTGGTTCGTTCAGGATTATTGCCAGGGTTGGCAGGGTGGCTTATAGGCTAGAGCTTCCAGAGGAGCTTAGCCGGATCCACATCACATTTCATGTTTCGCAATTGCGAAAATGCATTATGGACCAGGAGGCAGTGGTATCGTTGGATGAAATTCAGGTCGATGTGCGCCTGAACTATGTAGAGAGACCTGTGGATATTTTGGAAAAGAAGAAGAAGATTCTGCGGAATGACGAAACACCTTTAGTAAGTGTACAGTGGGAACATCGGAAGGGATCCGAGTGGACATGGGAGCCGGAGGCGGAAATGCGCGAGCATTACCTGGCATTTTTTACTCCAACGGACTTTGAGGGCGAAGTCTAGTTCAAGTAGGGAAGAGTTGTAACGCACTGATTCTCAGGTATTGCTTAAATAAGATTTATTAGGGTTAAGCTCTACTCGACGAGTTGGTTGACCTACTCGTCGAGTAGCAGTGGGGTGGGATCGCGTGTTAAGTGACCTACTCGACGAGTCCATGTTGGGACTCGGCGAGTAGGAGCTGGTAGTGGAAACCCTAAATCCTGGGGTTTGCACCTCTATTCAAAGGAGCCTTAGCCTCCTTTGGCCTCTTTATAGTCTTTGAGAGCCCCTTAAAACCCTAATTCTGTGTGTGTGCCTTGGTGTGGTGTTTGAAGCTTGGAAAAGAGGATCTTGGTGGAAGAAAGCTAAGAGTGCAGAGGAAATTGAAGCAATGAAGGAGTAGGAAGCAGGATTTACCTCAGCTAGCATCCTTTGGAGGTATCAAAGTGCCATTTTTACTTCCCTTTTTCCCTTTTGTTGAGTTTCTAGGGCTTTTTATGGATTTTCAAGTTGGTATGATGAGCTATGGTCTAGATCTGAAGTTGTAACTTCAGATCTGGACCCTCCTTGGATTCTAGAAGCTTAAAGTCACAATCTTGGTTGTGATTACGGTCCCTCTTGATCATGAAGTTCCATTAATAACTTAGAATAGACATTTGGACCCTTTATAGTCATGCATGCATGCAAAGTTTGCAACTTTACGTGATAAACATGCCTTAGAAGCTTGGATCTATGAGTTGGAGCCATTGCTTGGCTCAAAATATGTCTGTATGGAGGAAAAGGACTGAATGGACTTGCCGAGTCGCAAGGTGACTCGGCGAGTCACATGAAGATGGCCGTGAACTCGACGAGTTGGATGAACAACTTGGTGAGTCCGATGAAGATCGCCATAAGACTCGACAAGTTGAAGAACAACTCGGCGAGTCGGATGAGTTTTCTATGGGATATGTATGAGTGTGCATCCATCGAGTTGCAAGGAGGGAACTCGATGGGTGACCTTAAGTTTGATCGAAAATCAAAGGAGCTCGACGAGTCACTCCGATGACTCGGTGAGTTAGAATGTACTTCAGGGAACTCGACGAGTAGCCAAGGGTACTCGGCGAGTTAAGGTCAACATGGACTGTTGACCTTGATTGAGGACTTTGACTTTGATCAGGGGTTGACTAGTGGGTTATGAAGTACCTTATAAGGTTAAGGAATTATGTGTATGATGTACTATGATGATTGATGGTGGAACCTATGTCAAGTGATCCAAGAGTTTGAGTTTACCTTTCGTGACGACATCTGCGAGGTGAGTTATCCTCACTATATCAACGAGGTCTAAGGCACCAAGGTCGGGCCTTTATGGATTGTATTCAGATCATTTCATGTTATGCTTACTGATTTAAATCCTGGTAGTTAGGATGGTGATATGCTATGTTTTAGTGACCGGTTGGGTCAGTATCCTGGCATATAGGATGATGCTATGTTAGTGACCTGGTAGGTCGATATCTTGGTTATGGATTGTTACTATGCTTTGTGATCTGTTAGATCGGTTTGACTATTATATACATGCTAGTGTTATATGATATCTATGTGCACATGATTGTCCTAGTTAGAGGATAATGCTATGTTAGTGACCGGTTAGGTCTGTATCCCGATTGTTGGGATGTTGCAATGATTAGTGATATGTTAGATCGGTTTGACTGTGATATGATATGTGCTAGCGTATGATATTTATGTGCACATGTTTGTTTAATTGGGGGTTGGTTTGAGGCGGTCCTGCTTTGTGCTGTAGGCTAACATACCCGACGAGCGGTCCAGATAGGCTGTAGGCCCTGCGAGGCGGTCCAGATGTGCTGAAGGCTCAGAGAACAGTCCAAATAGATTGAAGGCATGTGAGGCGGTCCAGTTAGGCTGGCAAATCATTATGAATGTTGTTCTATATTGGTTATATGATATGGTTATGTTTGTATGATGTTGGTATTTTGGGGGTAGCTCACTAAGCCCTCGGGCTTACAGTTTTCAATTTATTGTTTCAGGTACTTCAGGAGATCATGGAAAGGCGAAGGTGTGACCGTACCGCTCCTCATCCTTATGTTATGATTTTTGGGACACTCTGATGGAAAATAATTTGAAAACATTTTTGTAAACAATGCTATTTGGTTTTTATTTATGATTGAAAAAGTTTAAATTTGGCGAAAATTTTATGGTTGTTACAGATTATCAGTTTATGTCATCTGAAATAAACCTACCATGGCAATCGCCTCATCTACATCATCTTTGTTTTTACCAACAACACGCCACCACATTGGATTACTCCAACAAAAATATCATCATTCATCTTATCCAACGCGTTAACTAAACCACTTGGCGTATTATAGCAAAAAAATCTTGTCTGCACACAACATTCGAGAGCCTTCTACACCCTTCTTCCGCTTCGTTTTTAAGCTCTCCCAAAAATTACCCATTTCAAATTCAACTTCCACTTTTACTGTTCTTTTCAAGTTTGATCTAGTAGCAGAAACACTCAAACACCCACTAAATACTACAAATTTGTGCTTAAATGGCTTCAGAACCAGAGTTATCAGTATCTTGTTTAATCGAGAGGCTTATGGAGATGCCATTCCTTTCAGGCTTCACTACCATTTGGCCGGAATCGGATTCAAGTCGCGATTCCGAACATTAGGATCACGAATCTACAAACAATCTTCATCATCAGGGTTCGTCACTCAAAAGGATCATCCTGATCAACCCGGTGACGCAAGGAATGGTGGTGATCGGAGGTGGCGCTACTACTAGTTTCGAATCCCTGATGAACGATCTGATGAGGAAGGACGGCCAACCACCGACGCCTCAAACGTCGATTGACGCCATGCTGACTGTGGAGATAAAAGGTACGGATGAAATAGAGAGTTTAGGGGGTGAGTGTGTGAAGAACAACAGCGTGCAACAGTTCAGTCGACAATGGAAGCTAACTCCGACTTTCCTTTATTCTTCGAGATTATGAACGATGGCGATGATGATCTTTGGTACAAAGAATATTGTTGATGGGGATCGGTGGAAGTGGTGATGCATTGTTGTAAATCGAGGGGGTGGTCGTCGATGGAAGATTTTTATGGTGGAATAGGGTTTTTGATAGTAAACGTCGTATATAAGAATGAGAAGAAATTAGGTCGAAGTCAAAATAACTAGCATAATTATAGGAAGTATTCTTGGAAGTTATTTACAAAATTACTTTATTACCCTTATTTATTTATTTAATTTTGATTGACCCATATTTATGCATACAATAACACAATATTTAGAATAAACACCTAAACCTAGCTATATATATATATATATATATATATATATATATATATATATGTATGTATGTATATATATATATATATATATACATACATACATATATATATTTCCTATATTATTAAACATATTGCTTGTTTCTTGAAAATTAAGAGGTACAATACCTATTACGTCATGTACAATAATATTAAGCTTATAATCAATATCACGTGTATAGGTAGGTATACACGATATTATCTTATCGTATAGGTATACACGATATATCCTGATGATACCCTAATCTTCTCTACACACAACAACTGCAATCCAAGGAAAACGAAACGCTCTTCTTTCCGTCTGATTCCTAATCGCTTCAGAATCGATCGATACTCAAAAACTCAAACCAAATCTCTATCGTCTCTCTCTTGGCGTCGTTTCTGAATGTCTCAACGCATCCACCGTCTCTCCCTGACCTCGAATGGTACGCCACAGGATCTTCCAAGAAGCACGGGGAATCGAATACAACACCCACCGCAACATAGGAATCGCGCTTTTGGCCCTAGGAACCATTCAGGTATGCAAAAATCGATCACACTTTCATAATTTCTCTCTCTAACTCTGTAATTTTGAAATCATAAGACACATACTGGGGAGTTCACTTTCTTTGTTAGGGTTTATCTTCTTAGTTATCGTGAATTTTTCTTTAGTTTTATGTTGGTGTTACCTAAATTCAACAAATTACAAGAGTCCGAGAGTAGTTTTAGCACAATAACAACACCATTCATACCAAAATAGAACTAGAAATCAACTTTCGATGTCCAAGTTCATCAACAGAGTGTGACTTTTATGGAGCATAGTAAAATTTATGATAAAGACTTCAAATACGGTTAAATTTTAAAAGAAACCATACCAAGTGTAACTACTGTCATTATACTGGTTCTAAGATGTATTTGACTTTATTTGATACTGATAAGGACTATGGAAAATGTCTAGTGACCGGGGAAACCCTAACTACGGATGATCTTGTTCCAATAAAAACTGGCAAGGTTTGCATTTCGTAAACTTTTGTTGCTTAATCTTATATTTCCACGATTTACATCTCACTCTTTACATGTTGAAGCTTATAACTTTTATGAAAAATTCATGCAAATAATGAAACCTAGACCAGTGCAGGCTGCAAGTATTCCTGCAATGCTTGGAATGTTTCAAAATGTATGTGTTCTACCTTGTTCTATTAACAATCTTGTTCTTTATCATCTAAATTAAGGTTATAAACTTAACTCTCATATGTTTGCTACTCCTTTTACTCAAGGAATGGGATGCTTTGGTGTTATCTACTTTTGCATCAGAGCAAAAATTACATACAACAAGGCAAGAGCTTATTCATTGTTTATACCAGGTACCACAAACAACTTGTTCACAATTTCAAACCTTGTTTTATCTTCCATTCTTCAAATTGTTCATTTTCCAAGATCATGTTTATATTATTTCTATAATGTCAGCATGATTCAGCTTGTCGGGTGATTGCAAGATTAAAGAAAGAACTTGATGAAGCAAGGACAATGTTGTCAAGTTTAGAAAGACAAGCACCAATGCCAGCAACAACAACAGTCTCATCAAATGCTTATGCTATAAGTAATGGGAAAAGAGGTTCATATTTTCTGTTCTTCATTTGAGAGGTTTGTAATCTTTCTTGATTTTGTTCTTTTGTGACTTATATTTCTTTCAACTTTTTTGTTTTAACAGCTGCTACTGAGGATGATGAGTTTGGTCCTAATGGTAAGAAATTTTGCCCTGGAATTTCTTCTAGTATCGTAACCGAATTAACAGACTGCAAGGCTTCACTTTCACAGCAAAAGAAGAAAAGACAAGTATCATGGATTCTGAAAGAACTGGAATTCAAGATTCCATTCCATGGCTTGTTTGATTTTTGCATTCTGACCCAATTAGAATTCAAGATTCCATTGTATGGCATGTTTGTTTGCCAAATGGAAACTAGTTGACATTTTTAAAAATTGAAATATCATTTTTGCATTTTTTTTCAAGATTCCTCCCACATTGGTTCCATTGGATGCTATTGAGAGGTATACACAGCTCAACAGTTGCCCTCTTCATAAAACAAACAAAGCTGGAATATTTTCTATTGACATCCATCAATCAAAGGTACATATTTTGTAATTCCAACTGCATTTCCACATTCATTCTTGATCTTTTGTGTTGGGTTTTTAAGAAAGATATGTTTTGCACATCTCAGGATCTTATTGCTACTGGTGGAGTTGATATGAATGTTGTAGTCTTTAATCGATCTTTAGGGGAAATTGTATCTACACTCAGTGGCCACTCCAAGAACATAACTTTTGGTGTCCCCTTAAGTACTGAATCGATAAAGTGTTTTGAATAGGTAATGATTTATGTTGATGTAAATATTGTTTTTATTTTTCATACCGAATGCACTGTCTCAAAACAAAAGACTATTTTACCCTCATGTTAAAAAAGTACAAGGGTTGGATTGTCATGGGAAAACCCTATCAAATTTTTTTTTCAGATATATGTATTTATTTTAGGACAGTTTTTGTGATTGTTTTTCTCCCATAATGACATGTCCTGTAAAAAAAATCATGTTATGTGACTGCATATGTATTTCACTCACATGGACCATTTATGTAATCATTTTTTGCCACCGAGATCGTTTTGGAATGTATTTTTGACACATGGACCATTTTCTGGCAACTGCTATGATGGTTAGGATTGGAGTTGGGGCTTCTCAAGGTGTTGGTATAAAAGGAAGGAAAGCATTATAAAAGGCACATAAGGTTTGTTATTTTTTGACTCTAACATTTTAAAAACCTCAAAACTTTTTCTGATTGTTTAGGACTAAATTATGCACAGGTCAAGTGTATTGTGGTATGCTATTTGAAGTTTAATATTAATATTTGATATTTTAAAAATATCCAGTTGAAATGCTATAAGAAACAATATTAAAATTTTAATTATGTTATGTTATTGTGTTAAATAATTAAGAATATGTTAAATTAAAAGCATCATGAATACCTTTTTAAAGATTCAATACAAAAGTTTTTTAAGTGAAGAATTTTTTTTAATAGTCATTCTAACCGATTAACAAACTCCAACTTTTATAAACATCTTATATATTTTATTCATTGTGATATTATATTTAATAACATTTCGTTTATATCTTAGTTATATTTAAAAACATTTGATAATGATGGAATCTACACGTCAAACGTTGTCTACAAAGAAGTTTTATGTGATTAACTGTGACAACTCGATATTTCGACTCTATGTAATGACTAAAAAAGTCAAGTATTGTAACCACTTTTGAATTAATGAAATTAACTTCAAAAATAAAATGTACAAAAGTCTCTATTGGGTTACCTACTATGCTAGATATTGTGTCAAGGTTTACAAAAATACAAAGAACACAAAAATCCGAGTTATAACGAAGAAGTTATGGCCATTCTAAGATTTCCGACAAAACCGGCAACACCGATTAACGAAAAATGTGAAGTTTCAATACTATAGTTTTTTATATTTAAGTATCTAAATGAAAGTTGTAGATATCATTAAACTGTGAGCGTACATAAAAAAAATGTCCAAATCTGACTTTATAAGAGGAAGTTATGATTTTTCCAAGATCCGGATATAGCAGTAGACAGCTAAAAACTCGAAATAGAAATCGAGAAACTTTTGACCGAAAAAACCTAAATAAGAATCAAAGGTTTCAACCGAAGTAGCGCAATGGTAAAAAGTCCAAAGAATATGGTCATCGATGAAGGGGTTATGGAATTTAAACGGACTTTTCCAGGTCCGGCCTGTTAAAAATAAATAATTAAAAAAAAATCAAACATTGCTGACGAAGTCTAGGCGGTTTATTGCAGATCTTCGGATGACCATAACTTTCACATATGAGCTTTATTTTTGACGTTATTTATATCATCATAATCCTCCCTGATGAGATGTATAACTTTCATTAAGGTTTCAACATCTAATTCTTGTTCTAATAAAAAAAATCATATTTAGACCGGTTAACACTGTTAAAGTCGATGCGGAATTCATAACTTCTTCATATGAATTCCGTTTTCGATTGTTTATATATTGATGGGATCTTCAATTCTCTTTTAGATTATTTCATCTAACTGCGCTGAAACTTTGAATAATCATAACTTCCTATCACGAATTCATGTTTGGACATTCTTTATATGCACGATCTTAGGTTTTACGACTACTATGATTTGCGTTTAGATCACTTATGCTAATAAGTAATCTATCAAAAATTTACTTTTTACGATACGTAGAGGCGTGTTGGTTTAATCGTGTCACCTTGAAGAAGAATATCCTCTTCATAGGAAGTTGGATTTCAAAGTTCTTTATATCTACATATTCCTTGTCATGTATACTACATCTTTGGTTCAGATTATTTATTTTAAATAATCTTCTATCAAAAAGTTATTTTTTACCCTTATTATATATTAATTGTCTAGCCTAAATATGAGGGTGTTATAAAAACAATATGCCTATATATATATATATATATATATATATATATATATATATATATATATATATATATATATATATATATATATATATATATATATATATATATATATATATATATATATATATATATCATTTTCATTTCAATGTATTTGGTTTAGGGTGCAACAGAAATAAAGGTGATGAAATGAAATATAATGAAATTGGTACTTAATCCATGAATCGTTGAATTATAAACCCCTTTATGTAAAGCTTTCATTTATTAACTTAAGTTCTAGTAACATGTTCACATTAAGGATGGTTTATTACTTATGTGTTTGTGACGTGCATATTTTTGTTATTCGGATATATATATATATATATATATATATATATATATATATATATATATATATATATATATATATATATATATATATATATATATTATATGATCTTAGCTCTTCTTATTCAAAATTACTACTTCCTCCCTTGCTTACGAGATGATGACCAAAGGTAATCTGGTGGTGGTGGTCCTGGTGGAACTGCAGGCAAACCTGGTCCTGGTGGAAGAAACTCTGGACTACCAGGTGGCAATGTATATTTAGGTGGGGGTGGAGGTGACGGTGGAGTCTTTTTACCCTTTGGAGCTTTTGGAGCCTTTGGAGGTGGAGGTGGAGACTTCCCATGTACATATGGTGCTGGTGGAGACTTGACATGCATAACTAGTGGAGTTCCAAGGATGTGAGGTGGTGGCGGAGATGTTTTAGGAGGCGGTGGTGGAGGAGATTTGCCATGGATGAGATGATTCAGAGCTATATATGATGTTTTATCTTCATAGTCTGTTGTAATAGACAAAGGGATGTAGAGAAAGTAAGGCTATTAGAAGATGAACAATCAAAGTAGCCATTATTGGCTGCTTCCTCTTTGTTAATCCTATTTCCAGGACTTATGCTTACAAGCATGCTTCTTCCCTCTTTATAGTCAAATTTTGTCCCAAAAATTACATTTATACCCTTTATATAATATAAATTAATAAGAACAAAAAAGCAATATAATGTAAATAAATGTGAACAGTAACGTTCAAAACATTAAATATCATAACTAGTAATCAATACATAATGTTTATGTTAATACGATAATAATGATAAATTGATGAACTTATGTCAATATCATATATTTGCAAAATAATCATTATTGGAAAATGTTTCAAATATTTAATTGAGAACATACCACTATGTAATAAAACATGTTAGTCGACTGAGTAACACTCTTACGCATATCTTGACTCTTTTTGTGACTTAAAGTATAGAAATAGAAATAATACTTTTATGTATGCTTAAGTATTATTATACTATAATAACATAAATCTTAAATGAAAGTTTTTAATTAGGTGCCTTAAGTCTTCACATCTCTTAATTATCCTGAAGAAGCATAATGCACGAAACAACAAGCTTAGAGTTCAAACTAACAAACTTCCTTATAAATCAACCGGAAGTTACTGATTCACATGATTGTTGGTATTTGTATTTCATCATCACGTGTAAACGAGGTGTTATAATTTGGAGTAAATTACAAGAATCATTCCTTGTGTATGTGTCAAAACTTACGTCCAATCCTTATTTTAAAATTGACTCAAATCGTATGTTATATGTTTAAAATTTGCATGTTTCATCCCTTCTAACATGAAAATAACTATATTGCCCTTAATAATATATTTATTTATTTATTTTTTATTTGTTATAATTTATTCACTATTATTTTTGAATTATATTTTAGAAAATGAAATCACCCTCTCTCTCTCTCTCTCTCTCTCTCTCTCTCTCTCTCTCTCTCTCTCTAATTTTCTAGAAAATATATTTCGTCTTTCTCATCTTAACCATCCATAAACCATCACCACCACCATTTAATGAACCTTAGATCACATTATCAAACAAAAGTCAAACCCCAAAGTCCTACAAATCATTAGAAGATGTAGTGAATCAATTGCTTGGAAAGACTTTACGAATATGAAAGGTATGCTAGCAGTAATACGAAAAACCATCAAAGTTTCAAGCCTGAGTTGAAATGAGATGAAGGATTTGAGTCTGTGTAGGAGCCCTGTTACTCCTAATTGGTGGTATGTAGGTGTTTCGACCCTCAGAATCGACCCTTTGTTCGTGTATTCATTATGATTAAGTCAAGGTATGCGATTTGAACTCTTTAGAGCTGCAATAACTCACTACACCACAAAAACGCTTTTAGAGTTGATAAAATAAGAGAGTAGTGGTAGTTTAGGTGAATAAGGAAGTAGAAGTGGTAATGTTGGCATGGTATTTTCCGTAAACTTGAATGACAGACTACACATGATTTCAAACTTCACCACCACCATCTTAGATCTGCATTTAGATCTAAAACTCAAACCCATACGTCGAAAGAGTAAGGATTTGTAGAAAGAAAGAGATCTAGAAGAAAAAATTCATATAGGAGAAGAAGTAGAATCGGCATTGGATTCTGTCCATCTTCTTCACCTACAACTCCAATTCCGATACAGTACAAATTGGTGGTAGTCGTATAGATCTGATACTGAGGTGGATCTAGGTGTATGAGACAAAATGAGAGAAACCGGGTGAAGAACATATCTATTATTTTTCGGGGGTGCTCCATTTTTCGGTGCTGGTGCAAAATTTTGGAGGTACTACTCATTTTCTTATGATGGTGTAACATCCTAATTTTCAAGGAAAAATTTTCACTTTTATTTATTAAAATATATTAGAGTATGACTACATTGTGTGGAAACATGTCGCGAATGCACGTGTGTATAGTCAAACCTTGCTCTTCTCACAGAGCACTAAAGCAGTTGAAACATTTTTATTTTACTGGGTAAGCACGAGGCTTTGTGAGTTTCCAAAAAAACACCATATACCATAATACATATACATGCATACAAATAATAAATCACGATCAACAAATAATATGTATATCTTGGAATACGTGGGAATGTAGGTTCCCAACCTCTTTAACTGTTCCACCATCAACCCTTACCTAGGTCTAATATGACAACAATTACGCATATAGAGACTGTTGTAAGGGTCGAAGACTTGTTGTAATATGTTGAAGACTGTAATATTATTTTACAAGGCATTTATGTGTCGAAGCTTAGAAGTTTAGTCCTTGTAATTTTTTGTTTGCTTTCA